CACACTCCCTTAGCCTACACACAGGTGTAGGCTAAGGGAGTGTGCGTTCTCAAAAGCTGTAAATCTCCATAATTACCGCCCTGTCAGACGGTGTTCATTCACCTCTTGTTCAGCTCTTAGTCAAGTTCAGCTGACCAAGAGCTGAGCAGCATTTAAAGACCAGAACATAGCAAAGCAGTGAAATAAGTAACAAGAACTGTAAATGACGTGGTTGCATGGTTACAGAAGTAAGATAAAATGATAAAAAGGAAAATCATTTGATGCAAAAATGATGTCAAAAACATGTCTAGCAAAAGCAAGACAGTCAATGAAAACTACTGATGGGGGTAAGAAGTTCAACATATGATGTAAACGCTAAATATCAGTTCGCCACTGACCAAAACGGCATTGTATTCTGCTAAATCTCTGTTTAATACACAGGCTCACAAATATTGTACATCTTCAGACCACGTCTGTCATCCCTTCCTCTCACTCTCATCAACAAAAACAATGTTAACAGTAAAACTCTAATTTGATGAATTCAGACAGACCTAAACATTCCACATTTAGGGTAAAAACAAGGCCAAGGAGCTGCAATGGAGTGAAATGAATCCATGTCTTACCATTAGAGGAGCTTTGCTAAACTTTCAATCCATTTTCTCTTCCAGATGTCAATTTAATAGTAGTTTGATCTCTGACAGTTCTTTCTTTTGTTGAAATCAAACCAGAGTCCCTTGGATACCGACATGCTTGCTGCAGGTTTAGTGTCGTCAGCAAATACAAATTTAACTACTAATTACAGAATTGCATATTTTTTATTCATGTAGCCTAATAAAATACAAAAAGATTGCCTCTAAGAAACAACAAAAGTAGTAATTTAGTGAACACTAGGTTTGACAGCTGACTGACTGCACAAGATGCTCTATATGTCAAGTCTGTAGCACTCTGAAAATTTGTTCGTACTTAAAAGATGATAAGAAACAGAAGAAAAATGGTGAATGCAGCACTTTACCCTCGCTTGCATGAACAATTTCAGAATTAATTTTTTTTGTATAAATGATTCTTGCATGGAGCCCATCGTGCTGCTTGTAGCCTTTAACCTAAAACCCAGAACCTTGTGTTTGTTCACCCATCAAGCAGGTATTTAGTGCTTTGTCTTTTAAAGCCAGCTCACTGATTTATTTCATGAACCACCTCCCTCACAAAGACGCATGGAGCTAAGCTAAAGGCATCTGTTTCAAACAGTATACTGCCTAAAGTATTTGCTAACCTGCCTCAGGTGAATCACATATGAACTAAGTAAGTAAGCGACATCCAATTCCTTATATGTAGGGGTTCAGTATGACGTCAGTCCATCTTTTGCAGCAAGAACAGCTTCAACTCCTCTAGGAAGGCTGCTCACTACTTTAGGAGTGTGTTTATGGGGATTTTTGACCAGTCTTCCAGAAGCACATTTGTTAGGTCACACACTGATGTTAGACAACATGGCCTGACTATCACTCTCCTGTAATTTATCCCAAATTAGTTCTATTGGGTTGAGGTCAGGATTCTGTGCAGACCAGTCATGTTCATCAACACCAGACTCTGCGGTCCATGTCTTTATGAATATTGCTTTGTGCTCTTCATGTTGGAAGAGGAAGGGGCCAGCTCAAATATATGTTCCCATAAATGTCACAATTTTGGCACTAATGTCTGGTCCGATTACTCATTTCAGTCATCTGCTTAGCCCTGCCCAGTTCATGTTACCGCTCATCTGATCCACCTGCTTTAGTCTCTATTTAGCCAGCCTTCAGAGCCAGATTATTTTCGAGCCTTGGTGAGAAGTTTTCTAGCATTCCTGTATTCTTATTGCCTGATCCGGACCCGTTCTGCCTCTTGGCCTCTGAGCCTGCCTGTCCCCATTTGATCTGTTTGCCTGACCTGTCTTCTGACTCCTGCTGGATCACTACCTGTCTGTGTATCGTACCTGGAACTGTTCCCGGACTCTTTTCTGGATTCTCCCTTTGAACCTTACTGGATCTCTGACCTCATGGCTCTAACAACCAAGCATGTCATGCCATTGGCTTTGGCTTCACCCTCTAAATTATCCTACCTACATTTGTCTGCTTGGTTCAGTTTCATGATGTCTCCTGTTTCCTGACTCTTTGTGCGTCAACCGCTGTGCCACGTTGGCAGCCGACCAGCTGGAACTAACCTCACCCTGTGGACTCAAACTGAACTTATAGTTCAGGTTAGTGACTCACATGTTCGTCATTCACCTCTAGAAAGACATAGTCACTAACCTGTTATCTCCTCTGTTTCCAATAATCTTTTTGAGAAATCTAACCGTTTGTCCGCCTCGAATACTGGATCTTATTGTTCTGGGCCTAACAATAAAGTTGGGAGGTCTGAATTCCTCACCCGTATAAATCGAAGCCAAACTCTTCCTGCACAGAAAAGGGTAATAGAAACACTTGCTTTCCGAGGAAAATGTACTAAGAGTACTTCTATTAGATCAGATATTATCTTCAAGACATACAGTTTTCTTACTTCAGTAACATTTCAGGCTGCTCTACCTGAGTCTGTATTAACATTGTTATAACCTTAGAGGATGAAGCAGTGACAAACTTTCCCTTTTCCAGGTCTCTTTCCAGCAAATCATTTTTTTGTTTAAAGTTTAATGTTAGACTTTTTTTTCTTCAAGACTTATGATCTCAGTAAAAATGCCTGACATTAGGATATCGTGATCCTTTTTTCTGAATCATTTGCTCTGTTTGTGTTGCAGCATTGCCATCCTACAATACCTGGCGCAGAAATGTTCTGTGGCAGACCACTGGTTTCCAGCTGACCTGCAGCAGCGAGCACGTGTTAGTGAATACTTGTCCTGGCAGCACTTGAATCTTCGACTTCACTGCTCAAAGGTCACCATGCTCAGGGTTGGTATAGACTTCATGCTGCAACCTCAATAATTTAGAGTGGGTACGGAAAGTATTCAGACCCCTTTCAATTTTTCATTTTTTGTTTCATTGCAGCCATTTGCTGAAATCAACAAGTTCATTTTATGTCTAATATATGTACTCTCGGAACCCCATGTTAACAGAAAAAACAGAAATGTAGACATTTTTGTAAATGTATTAAAAAAGAAAACTGAAATGTCAAATGACATTCATATTAAACTCACATCGTGTCCATTTCTTCTGAGCCTGAGCTGGTTTTGCTCCTTCATAGGATAACCTCATAATGAGGTTGAAGTAACTGTCCAAGGAGCTCAGAATTTTGGACAAGGCACAGATTTGGTCAAGGTTACAAAATAATTTCTGCAGCACTCAAGGTTCCTAAGAGCACAGTGGCCTCCATAATCCTTAAGTGGAAGAAGTCTGGGACAACCAGAACTCTTCCTAGACCTGGCCGTCCAACCAAACTGAGCAATCGTGGGATAAGAGCCTGGTGAGAGAGGTAAACAAGAACCCAAAGATCCAGAGATGCAGTCGGTAGGTGGGAGAAAGTTTTACAAAGTCAACTACCACTGCAGCCCTCCAACAGTCAGGGCTTTATGGCAGAGCAGCCAGATGGAAGCATCTCCTCAGTGCAAGACATATGAATGCCCACACAGAGTTTGCCAAAAAACACATAAAGGACTCCCAGACCATGAAAAAGAAGATTCTCTGGTCTGATGGTTTGAAATTTTTATGTTAAGTGGTATATGTGTAGAAAACCAGGCACTGCTCATCACCTGCCCAAAAAAATCCCAATAGTGAAACATGGTGGTGGCAGCATCTTGCTATATGGGTGTTTTTAGGCTGTACTGACAGGATGACTGGTTGCAATTGTGGGAAATATGAATGCGGCCAAGTCCTGGAAGAAAACCTCTTCCAGAATGCTCAGGACTGGGCCGAAGGTTCACCTTCCAACAAGACAATGACATTAAGCACACAGATAAAATAACAAAGAGTGACTTGGAAACAACTCTGTGACCATTCTTGACTGGCCCAGCCAGAGCCTGACGTAAACCCAATTGAGCATCTCTGGAGAGACGTGACAATGGCTGTCCATCAACGCTCCCCATCCTGTCAAGTGGGGTGGAGGTTTGACAGGACTCAAATGCAGACACAAAAGCTGAGTTGGTTTCTTGAAGATTTAATAACATCAAAGGGGAACAAAGGCAAAAATCCAAAAACATAAATCCACAAAAATCCTAAACTACTCAAAACCAGGAATACCCACAACAACGGGGCAAAGAAATGACGACAAATCAGTAAAGAGTGGCTGAACAGGAGGAGAATATATGGGCGAGAGAAACAAAGACCAGGCTAATTAGCAGATTGGGAGACAAGAAGGGAGCTAGGCAAAGGGAGACTGACACAAGAGGCCAAACAGAAAATATCTAAGAACTCAAATACAATAACAAATTACTAGAACAAAAAAATGGAAATAAGACAAAGAGGATCTGCAAGGAAGAATGGCAGAGAATCCCCAAATCCAAGTGTGGAAGAACTTGTTGCATTATTTCCAACAAGACTCATGGCTGTTCTAGCTCAAAAAGGTGCTTCTACTCAATACTAAGTGAATACTAACTGAATACTTATGATGATTTGATATTTCGGTTTTCTTTCTTTAATATATTTGCGAAAATGTCTACATTTTTGTTTTTTTTTTACTGTCAAGATGGGGGCTGAATGTACTTTAATGAGCAATAAGACAAACGTTATTGATTTTAGCAAATGGCGGCAACTAATCAGAGTGAAAAATTAATCTTTTAATCAGGCTACATGTTTGGTTTGCCTTGAAATCATATGTTAAATATAATAGGATGTTATGACAATTATTTTACACATTTTTCTAAACACACTGTTGCTACAAAATGAATGTTAATATTATGTTAAACATTAAAATCTGCTAATATGAGCGAAAAAACATAGCCAGGTGAAATTGCTGCAAAAAATGAAATTGACCTGCTTGTTTAATCTGGAAAGTTCTTCAACTGAAGGCAGTAGGAGGACATGAAAGGGACAGTTCTCTGCCCCTGTGCTTAACTTTGTGTATTTACCTAACTGAGCAAAGCCTTCCTGCCCCACCTAAAGGAACAGAGGATGAAAAGGATTAAAACATTATTTTAGATTTAAAGAGAAACTTGTTGTGTTTAAATTATTGGAAACAAAAGGCCATTGTAGATCAAAGAGACAGATATTGTGGCCACAGAGATCAGATTTCTGATAAAAATTGTATTTTATGATTAATTTCACATATTTATGAGAAGCAAATTTTATATTAACTGATGTCCCAAATTCATAAAAAAAAAAAAAAAAAAAAAGTCAGATACTTTGACAAAAAAGCCAATAAGAGATATTAGTGGTATCTTATGTAATGTTTATTTGGATACTTTTTTTTAAGTGTAAGTGGTTCATTCAGGCTTTTACACTGCAAAAAAATGAAATCTAAGTCAATCTTTCTTTAAATAGGTGCATTTTTTTTCTTGAATTGAGCAGGTAAGTGAGGCACTTTGCCAATGTAATAAAATTTACATTTAAAATAAGAAAAACAAAACAACTGCAGTCTCCTATTTCAAGTGCATAAGGTCTAATTACCTTATTTCAAGGTTAAAAACATTAATTCCATTGCATATCAACCTATTTACTCATATTAATGGTAAATACACTAAGAAATTATTTCTAATTTTGCCATCTTTTTTTCAGTGAAAGTATTAGAGCTTTAAATCTCCTGGGGGTAGCCTCACCATTATTACCATGAGTGGCATCAAAGACACACCCTAAGTGTGTCTAAATGCTGCATAGAGGCTGCAACCCTGGAGATGTGGTTCTGATCCAGGGCAAAAAGAGCAGGACTACACTGCTTACACTTAGGAAAATATCTAGATACCATCTGAAATCACCACCCATACCTTAGCGGACCAAAGTTGTTTTTCACACATTGCTGACTTTATTATATCAGGGAAAATTTCAATTTTATGTGATGGATTTTTTTTTGTATTTTACAATATTAGCAAATAACCACAGGTATGTTCAAGTTCAGATAAACCAAACTGTAGTATAAGACTGCAGTTCTTGCCTGAGTTTTATCTATGATTTTTGTTGGCAGGGTATGTATCCATTTGTCATGGGCTCTGAAGTCCCGAAGGAGAAGATGGACGCTGCTATGGAGGATATGAAGCAGTCCCTGGACCTTCTGGAGGAAAAGTTCCTGCAGAACAAGCAGTTTATCATTGGGAGTAAGATTTCTCTGGCCGATCTGGTGGCCATAGTGGAGATGATGCGGGTAATTTAAACCTGGTTGTCCTCTGTTCACACTTAGACATAAACGACACTGTTTCAAAAATGATTTAGAAGAACATACTGTTTACATGAGCACAGGCAACACTGCTTAAAACGTTGTAGTATATATGCCAGGCCCATTGGTGGCGCTCTAACATTAAAACACCCAGATGTAAACACTGGATAGGTGCGATACTGCTTATTTTAGTATCAATCCAGCACTAAGCAATTACAGGGAAAGTATCTCTGATATCGATACGAATGCTGATACTTTCAAATCTTTTAATTCAAAAACTATAGTAATAAGTTTTAGATAATAACCAGTCTTTGTTCCAGTCATATACAAATGTAAATCATCCATACATCCATTTTCCGTCACGCTTATTCCCAAGTGGGGTCACGAGGGGCACAGCTGTCTACCTGTGAGAGGTGGGGTACAGGCCGCCAGTAATGTAAATCATATTCAAACTAAATATTTCCATTTAGACTGATTTTATGTTTTTTTGTGTGTGTCTGTTTTATGTGTAAGTTTTGGAATATTTTAATTTATGGACTCATAGCTGAAAAACACTCATTTTAGGTCAGCAACTGTAACATTCTCCTTAAAGAGCAATTAATGCCAGGTTTGCTGGTAAACTGTATAAACTGGAACTTAAAGATGCTATTTTTATATCACTACACAGGTTTTGACATTAATTCTGCGATATTTGTTATAAAACAGTCTAAATGCTGCCCTCTATTGGTTGAAGCGTGCTCAAGCCATATTTTCTTTTGGGTTAAATCAACAGCATAGCTTGGTGCAGGCCTACATCACAGCCTGGCTATTTGATTTACTATAGAAGTTGGAGTGACATTATCTCTGAGTTGAACGCGTTCAAGCTTCCTTCATAAATTCTCCATTTTTCATATATGACCTCTACACCCACTGATAGAACAAAAGCAACGACATACTTTTCTACATTATATTCTAACTTCTGAGTGCTGTTGTGAGAATCGGTAAGCATTGTATCACCTATTAGTCAGCATTTTTTCAGTTTAAGTACTTGGATTATTTAGTCATATCAAACTTAATGTCACTTTCCCTAATCCTGACTGACACCGACTGCTGACACTGATAAATACCCATCCCTGCTTAAAATGATCAATAAATCAATATTAAAATAGTAATATAGTGTCTAATAAAAGGCTATTCTAGATCAGAGTAATTATGTGAAAATATTCTCATGTATTTAAGATATTTCTAAAGTTCTGTTTTACATGAAAAGTGATGATTGCAGCTCCACGGATCCTGGGCTGAAATATTCCTTTGTTACATTCTGATGTTTCAGCCTCTGGCAGTGGGAGTGGATGTTTTCAAAGATCGGCCGAAGCTGTTGGCCTGGAGAGACCGGGTGAAGAAGGAGCTGGGAGAAAAGCTGTTCGACCAAGCTCACGAGGCCGTCCTGAACCCAAGCGACATGCAGCAGAAGATGCCTAACAACAGCGAGATGCAAAAGTTCAAATCTGCACTTTCCAGATATTTCCGCTGAGGGAATGGAAATGTAGATACTGTATGTTCTCATGTTAGCTTGTTCCAGTAGAACTCATCTATGGGATTGAAAATAACTTTCTACTGCTTCAATAAAAATGTGAGAAAAATAATACAATTTCCTAAATGATTTTTATTTCTAGGCAGCAAAACTTTGTTGCAATCCAAAAAAATGTCAAGTTTAAAATTGACATTTGATAATAAAACAACAAAAAAAACAAAAAAAATCACACCTTTTTTGTAAGGCCTTCACAGCTGAACAGGGACCAGTTTTCTAAAAAAGATAAACAACTCTTCCAAGCTGATTTTTAGACATGTTATTCAGACAAACATTTCCTGGCTTGTTTGTTCTTGTTTACTAAATATATCAGAACCGACTCCTGCTGTTCAGCAAAACAAAACCTTTCTCCATGAGATGCTCAGATACTAGCCGACACTAGACTTCACCAGTATAAATCTCTCAGTGGTTGTGATGCAGCTCAGTGAATACTGCATGAACTAGACTAGATGTCTTTGTGTGTGACCATGAATTCCTGTCTTTGTTGGTCATTTCTTCCAAACAGCAATTCACCCATTTAGCTGCAAACAATGACTTCTTTGAGACGATTAGGTCTCCACTTATGCTTTGGGCTAAGAATGGAGATGATTCTGCTAACTGAGTACAAAATCTTACAAAAAATGTTACAGAAAGATAAACACCTCTGCTATAATTGTAACAATTTTAATCATGTATTCTATGTGTACATAAAGCTTAAGCACAAGATAAAGGGTTGACATATTCTAAAGAGGAGCGGTGGCCCAGTTCAGAGCACAGAGCTTGTGTAATGGGAAATCTTCAAGTTCCCTGCTGAATCCTGCAGACTTTGCACAGCTACTTACTGCTCCATAAAATAAACAAACACATAAAGATGATGCTTATTTAAAATAAAAAAAAAAAGCTTTATGCAGTGCGGCCTGTAGATTTTAACTGGAGGTCCTTCCAGATCCTCATCTTGCACATGGCTAACACAAAGCAAGGCTCTCCATAGATGTAAATAATGTGACTATTTCTATTGTAAGAAATAATGGCATAAACAGACCAAGATGCTGGAGGCACATTAATCTCATTATAATGTTCTCCGTACTTTTATAAATTAAAAGCTAAACAACGTCCACATTAACCACATGCTAGGTGTTTTAATATGAATTTGCTTCTTTTGAGGTATCTCTTCCACTATTTGGTGAGTTTTAGAGATCTTTCCTTTTTAATCCTTCATCTTTAAAGCAGGGTACGTATTTTCCTTCCTTTTTATCAAGGTAGCAGCTTTGCAGCAAATATTAACATTCGTACCATAATTAAAATTAAATAAAGAAATAAATAAATGACTCCCAAATATAAATCATTAACAAAATAATACATTGAAATTTATATTAGTGAAAGTTAAATGGAATAAACGGATAATAATTAAAATTTATTACTTAGACATCAGTATATATATATTTAGATTTGGAAAATTTAGGTTTGTCTTATTTCATATATAAATTAGATCTTATTTACTCAAACAATTATCCTGCGTGAGAATGTTTGTAGACCACACATAGCTCCTTAGGGAGCACACTCTGCCCAAGCAGAACAGGGCTGAATACAGAGCAGTAAGGGCTGTATGATGAACTGTTCTCTCTTTGCAATGATATGAAAATAAAATGCCGACTGAGTGAAATCCATCGATCTCCGTCTATTTAACTGGGGTGAATAGTTGAATACTTTTTTTCCCACTACAATTTATATATAAATATATGACTTTAACTGATTTATTGCATTATTCTGCATTATTTTTTCCTAACACTGTATATAAACATGTTTCCCCCATATATATTACTTTTTAAAATTATTTTTAATAACTGATAGATATTTACATGTAATTTTGAACCTGATCCTCCTACAGCTGCCTGATAATGTTAAAAACGACTCAACGTTGCAATCTAGTGGGAGGAGTCGGAAATAACAGACTGGAGGTTTGGATATAAATTCAACACAGAATCCGCTAAACACGACAGGACATTTATTTAAAAAACAGAAAACAGAAAAAAGAAGCGCAGTTTGATCAGATGTTTTAATTATAGCAGTGCCATAGCTCTCTGTGATTGATTAGTAATATCAACAATATTAGTAATATAAAGATATTTTACCAGGAACAGATTAAATTTGTTTGTTGTTGTTGTTGTTTTTAACTTTTAGTTTCAGGATTTCCATTGCAAATGAATATATTTCCATGAATTTGATTTAAAGCTGCAGCAGTAGATCCTTTGGATCAGATGCAGCGGTGCATGTGACCCGTTCTGCACAGGAAGACCAGTCAGACCGAGGTTCCTCCTGCGGTTCCTCTTGCGGCCCCAAAGTTCCTCCTGCGGCCCCCATCAACATGTCCTGCTGCGACCCGCTGGGCCTCTGCCAGTACCAAACCAACAAGCTGGTCCGGATCAGGAGCTTCCGGCTCGGTTCGCTGAAATGGAGCCTGAACGGAGCGATCCTGCTGGTCATCTGGTGAGGAATATTTCACAGCCACGCATCTTCCTCCTTAGAGCGCCTCACTTTCAGCTTCCTGCACTTTCACTGGTTCCGTTTGGATCATTTTCACCGCTCAATGCTTCAGAAAACGGAGTTTAAATTCCCCACAGCCTGAAAACACTGCAGTCATCAAACAGTTTATGCAAACGTCTCTGTTTTATTAATTGACTGTTTTCTATAAAAAAGACTCTTCGGCTTAGCGCAGTGCGGTGCAACTCAAAAAAGAAAGCAAATAATAATAAATACACGTTTGAAACTACTTTTAAAAACATCCGTCCAGGGCCGTACGCACGAAATACTGAGGTCTGAAGCAGGGGCACCAATTAAAAATCAGCGAATAAATAAAACCATCAACCAGTAAAGATCCAGAGACATTTTTAATTAAAATCTGTTACTTTAAACAGCATTTAACACTGAAATTAATGTTTTGATAAAAAAAAAATATTTAAAGAAAATAGTAAAATTATAAATTTTAAAATCTAAAGTGTGTTTTTGAAGTAGAGAACTTCAATCATTCAGTTTCATATATAGACAATTTCCTGATTCACATATTTTATAAAACACCTGAACTGATCGTTTTTTTCCCCTTTCTTTTTTCTAGCTTAATGAGAGCAGTGGGCTTATGCTGCCCTGCAAGGCTTTAAACCTGGGTCTGAATGGAGACTAAGCCATTCTAAAGCACATATCAAGGTGCTTATTATGAGCCTGGATTGATATTTATTTCTGATTCTGTTCATGGTGGAGAATCCTGCTTCACAGCAGCAGGTTGAGCCAAACATACTCAAAATGTGCAGGATCATCTTTGAGCACCATTTAACTTTTTTCACCAGTTCACCACAGTTCTTCCAGCAGTCCACACTTTCTCTGCTCTCTTTTTCTCATCTTCTTCTCCGTTTTTCCCATCGCCCGGCTTGCAGCAGGTTTGCCTGCTGTGTCTAAAAGCAGCAGCGACCCAGACTGAAAGCAGCTCATTGGCTAATTTATATCACGTGTAGCCTGGTGCTGGACGCTCTGGAGGTCTTTGCCATTTTAACAGGAGAAGCAGCACTATTAAAGTTAGACACTGTCGTCAGACATCATGCAGTAATTTCTAAATGTTTTAAATCAGGTTGGTATTAGCCAGAAAGGTGGGTCCGGACCGCGGCCCGCTAATCCGTGACCAGGGGCGTGCACACATAGACACTAGGTGGTGCTAAAGCA